GTTTATCTCTTTAGCCCAAGAGTGATGTCATTAGAAATGACTTTGTCAGGAAGACACCTAGGGGTAATTAAGGAGATACCTTAAGAAACAAGTCTTCTAAGATTGAGGGAAAGCTTTACCTACCTGGAAAATTTGTGTCCATAGGAGGACAATGTTGAGAAGAGAAAAATAGCCAGGCATTCATTAACTAGAATCTAAATGAATGAAGTAGCTGAGAAACGGACAGAAGTTGAATAGTTTCTATAATGCACTGTTGCAACAGTGAAGTCCTTTAATCAGGTGAGAGCCATGACACAGCTCAGATGTGAAAGCAAGCCAGTGCTGTGTTCCAAGGCTATACATTTGTTGTATGATATTTTTGTTTTACAAACAAAAAATAACCTGAAATATGTGTTATTTTGATTTAATGTTATTGCTGTCAATTTTCTTTCCTCTACTTTTGTTAATATCTCTTCATCAAATGAATGTTCAGCCTACTCCATATAGTTCTGAGGGAATTGCCAATCACAGGTCCACATACCTCTGGTCATAACAATTGGGTGAAAAGGATGAGCTCATGACCTAAAACTGCATTTGGATAGCTAGCCCAGAATCATCAGATCAAAGCACTCTAGAAAACCTGACAAGTCAAACCCTGAGTTCTGTCCTGGTCTTTGGCCTTCCAAAAGGCTTAAATGTTGAGTTCTTTCTTTGATCCTTGTCTTAGGGTTACTATTGTTGTGATGAAACACCATGACCAAAGCGACAAGGGGAGGAAAGGGTTTATTTTCCACATCACTGTTCATCATCAAAAGAAGTCAGGACAGGAACTCAAACAGGGTAGGAACCTAGAGGCAGAGCTGATGCAGAGACCATGGAAGAGTGCTGCTTACTGGCTTGTTTCATGACTTGCTCAACCCACCTTCTTATAGAACCCAGGACCACCAGCCCAGGGATGGCCCCACCCACAATGGGCTGGGCCCTCCCATCAATCACCACTTAAGAAAATGCTCTAGGGCTTGCCTGAACCTGATTTTAGGGAGGCATTTTCTCAAGTGTGATTCCCATCTCTGGGATGACTAGCCTTTATCAAGTTGACATAAAACCAGCCATCATAAGCCTGTAAGCTTTCCAAGTTTCTTTTTCTTTAAAAGTCTGTTTTTCCTGTGGGTAAAGATTAAATTAATATACATTCATTATTTCTTACTGTGTTGTTTGCTTGTTTGTTGAGACATCTTACTCCAAAACCCAGGTCAGTCTGAACTCGGCATTTTACCTTCTAAGTGCTAGGATTACAGATATAAGTTGCCCATACTTTGTTTCTTACTCTTTTTTCTTTTTCTACTTTTATTTACTGTTTGTCATGTGCCGTTTTAGGGGTAAGTAAATCTTATACTAAAGATTTTTGATATTTGATTCTTGGTATGACTTGGGAAAGAATTTTTTTATTATTGAAGCAGTACTGGTTTATTTTATGGCTGTAGAGGAAGATGTATCAGTGATAATTTTAACTTACTTCCCTATCAGCCAACAGTGTTTAACTTAACAGTGTGAAATGCCAGCTATCTCATTGAGGAAAGTGGGAGCTGAGAACACGTATGGAATTTGAAATCTGTTGTTTCCATTGGGTTTTGTTTCCATCTGTATCAGTATGCTTTTTGTTATTTTCCTACTTAGCTGTTTGAGATGAGGTATTTGTAGGTCAGTCTGGCCTCCAGTTTAGGATTCTCCCACCTCCACTTTGTGAGTCCTGAGACAATAGGCAGGTGCCACTACAGCTTGCCTCTTAGTATACTGCTTAGTATATTGCAATATGAATATTTTCTCAGATTGTGAGCTTTGTTTAATACAAAATCATTTATATTTGATGATTTACCTAATAGAAGCTTCTGGTTTCAGTTCCTATGTCTTCTCACAGTTGGTGTTAGTTACAACATATACTTTCTATTATAGTTTTTGGATGGATTATATTTAGGGCTTATCCAAACATGAGCTAATGTTGAAGTTTTCATGTTATGCCTCCTTTTGCTGGTTTTTACTGGACAAAAGGACTTAGGAGAATATATCTTTCTTCAGGACATTCTAGAATCAGCATTTAAAAAGTGATAATTATCAGCTCTTGACATAGTTGATCCTGTGACTTTAACTGATACTCTGCAGATCTACAATAATTTGTATTTAGTTCATATAGTGAGTATTGTCAGTGTTGTGGTTCAACATTTCAAATAACATTCAGAAAAATAGTTTAATGTATGGAAGATCACATGCCTGCCTAATAGAAAGACTCAGATATGGCTGAGTCCTCAGTTCATCTGTTCCATCCTTTTATATTATGTGTGTCATGGTTAGTTCATTTTTTTAAAACCTTGGGAAATAATAACAAACTTTTTGAAAACTGTATCTTGTAACGCTAGTGGCACAGTTGGGGGATTTTGATATAATAATCTCCCCTAATACTGCTGTTGGGGTCAAGAGTGCTCATGTATTAAAGAGAAAGGTAACAGAAAGTCAATTTGAGTCACGTCTGGCCAAGAGACTTGCTTCTAAACACAGCCTCAAAGCCAGAGCACATTTGTTTGACTTCCATGCCTCAGAACATGCACAAGGCCTGATTTTCAAATGTAGATCCACCCTTTGCATTGACAAGCTGTAGGGAACACCAAGAACTATGCTGGCTCCTTTTCCCCTTGTAATTTTGTTTTATTTCTGCCATATATGTGCAGTGCTTTTTGCGATGATCCAAATAGAGCTCATGAGGTACAGCTGTTTAAATTTGTCCTGCAGTGGGAAGTGGACTAGGCAGGCCTGTGTGACATGTGATTAAAAATGCCAAACTGGGCTCTTTTTACCTACAGATGTTTTAATGTGCTTAACATTATCCAATACTAGCAACGGAGAGGGTCTAAATATCACAGTAGGATCTGATTAGCTTTTTCAGCTCACTGCCTTTATTTGCTGTTTGCAAAAATGCTTAATCCAGTGCTGTAGATGAGGCATCCTGCTGTGCTCTGGGGTAGTTTTCTTCTTTGTGATCCCTCCTTCTCCAGCATTAAAGCTGTATAGTAGTAACTATGGTAGCAAGTGATGAAGAAAAGGAGAAAACGAAGGGGAAAGAGACTGTCCATTCATACTAGGTAGTTTCCTTTTACAAACAAAAGGGCCTTAATATAAATACTTAAGTACTGTTCTCAGTGTGTCTTTTAGTCAGTGCTTTGCAACTTGGGTATTTTTGGTTATAGCTATAATTACTTTGCATGAACTTATGCTGTGCTCATTATTTTTATCTGACTTAGGCCTTGCTTTCAGAGTTGATACCTTTTTGACCTTTTAAGAGGGCTGTGGACATGGAGGGAAGCAGAGATAAAGTCTGATTTTCCTCAATTCTGTGATAGCATATGCTTACCCCAAAGTGAGGCTTTGCATTCTGTGTGCTTGACATAGTAATTTGTAATAAACTGTGATGATAGAGATATTTTATCTTGATTTCAGTGGGCTAATGAAATGAGATCACATGTTTAACTGCTTTTTGCTATATCACTACAGTGCTTGGCAGAAAAAAAATAGTTCTCACTTCAGAAATTAATATGACATCCAGAATCTAAGAGTTTAGTTTTGTTCAAAATTATGGTCACGGGGCTGACAAGATGTCTTAGTGGAGCCTCATACCCTGAGTTTGAACACTGGGATCCTACATTGTGGGAGGAGAGAACCAATGTAAAAAAGTTGTTCTCTGATCTCCACACTTGTACACACACACACACACACACACACACACACACACACACACACACACACACACACCAAACACAAACTTTTCTAATATTTGGAGCAACAAACTTCACTAAAAAACATAAATTTTATTGAGGGAAAACATCCATAGACATGATGACCTACAATATCTTACTTTGTCTTTTCTTTCTGGAAACAAATTTCAGGTTTTTAGTTAGCAGGGGAATGTTTCTGGTAAGATAGCTGAAAATTTTAAGTGTATGATCTTTCTCTCTTTTTGTAAATATAGGAAACTCTGATTTGTGTTTGAATGAACTCAAAAAGGACAAGAACAGAAGTTCCAAACCAGAACTTTCTTTTTCTAAGTTTTCACAAATGGTCCCATTGTGAACAACTGCTGTTAATGTATGAAAAGGAAATTGTCTTACATTGCTTGGTGTGCTTTAGTTTTATATCATAGGATTTTTTTAAAGTCTGGGCTTTGCATAAATCACTGGTTCTTGGCCTATACTGGAATTTTGTTTGCATTTCAGTGAAAAGAGAATGTGTGTGTGGCTGTGCATGTGCATGTGATTGTGTACTTGTGTGTGTGCTGGTTCTACACTACACAAATGAGTAGTCTACATCACACAGGTAATTAGAATAGCTGTAGGTTTTTCTTGGTAAGGAAATGGTGTTAACATTTGGATTAAATGTTTTCATTTTTCATAATTCTAGTTCACTCAAGATAGTGCCTCTGCAGCATTCAGAACAAGTAGTCCACAAGATTATAAGTAGTGTCACGTGGAACATAGAAGTAAATTAGGGTCCTTATTTGGTGTACTTTAGATGTCCTTCAAAGTTATCCCAGTATTTCACTTTAGTACTATTTTGAACTTAAATTTCAGTATTATGACTTTCAAATTTTATGAAATACTTTTTAACAAGTATGTTATGAAAGGTTTTGCTTTTACTTAAGCAGATGGCTAACCAGTATCTGTAATAAGAGGTTTTTACATTGCTATTTGACATATCTCATCTGGGCTGTCTAATAATTTTATAATTTTAAGTTGAAGTTATTTTTGTTTAAATGTACATTTCATGTTACTTGTTTTCACCAACTTATACTAATTAGTATTTTACTACATTTCTAGAGAAATTACTTTTTAAAATTAATTCTTTTTGTAAACTCATAAGCCTTTCATTTTGCAATTTTCACTAGGTTTCTTTACATTTTATTATTGTGTAACACATTAACAAATACATTGCTGCTGTTTTGCTTTTTCAAGAATGTGTGTCTCTGTGTAGCCCTAGCTATCCTGGAACTCCCAAATCTACCTGCCTTTGCTTCCCTGAATGCTGGGATTAAAGGCATGTACCACTACCTCCTTTCTAACAAATAAGTTAAAGTACAGATTTTCCACTATTGCCAGAGAAATAAGATTAACTATAACCTTCTGCCTCATTTCACCAGCAACTCATTTATTAAAGAAGATTGCTGCAATAGTTAATTACTACTTTGACACACCTCATTTTCTTTATCTCTCAAAGAAAAATGAAACACTAATAGACTAGCATATAGCCTCAACCTTTTTGGAAACATGCAACTTTTACTGCTTTAAAATATAATTGGTTTCTTTGTTTTCCTGCATTAAAAACAAGGAGGAAAGGCTGGTCTGCCCAAGCCAGGTGTTTCTTGTTGGCAGCCTGCTCCCTAATGACTGTTCTCATAGAGCAGCTGCCTACTAGTCAGCTTTGTATGGCCTATTGTTGATGCACACCCCTCGTTAATACACATGCTGCCCGGGGCAGACACAAGAATGACATCAACTTGCTTATCTTAGAAACCTACGAACCTGATGCAGGGTGCTGAGGTTGTCTTGCATCTGCCTGACTAACTAATTGTGAGCTCTCTGGCCTGTGATTGGCTGTAGTTCCAACTCGGTAATAGGTTAAGCAAAGACATTGCCATTCCATCTGTTCAACCACTCATTGTTCTTCTTGCCTGCCTGGAAGTCTGCAGCTAAAACTGTGTTGTTACTGCTGAAGCTACCACAGAAACCAATGTCTTTGTACTTTCCTGCAAATGTAAGTATTCGTGATACTTAGTGCTTTCAGAAGTTAAACTTTGCTGTAAGAGCTAGAATTTCATCTCTATGAAGGATAGGAAGCACCACAAAAGAAAACCTGCAAATGTGTTAGTGCTAGTATACCCGAGAATCTGGTTCTCCCTGTAAAAATACATTTGTGAAGCTGAGTCTTGTAATGGGGATTTTGCAAATAATTCCTTATAGCTTCATGAGTGCTTTTAAACCATAGGCATTACACACAATCATTTGGAGCTTAAGACAAGTTATAAGGAAGTTCTAATATCGTGATAAACAATAAATTTAGATTTTATCTTGTCAAATGTTTATGTTTCTTAAGGTATCACTGTCATAGCTAGTTCCTGTGAAATGCTGGTCAGATTCAGTAGATTTTTCTATTGTGTTAAGAGTCTAGTTTGCAGAGATGGATTGATACTGATAAATGTTTCCAATAACTGGTTTTAAAGATGATGATTAAGCATTCAGTTGCCTGCCTTGTCAATGATTTCAGTATTCATGTAGAATTTATTTCCTCTCTCCTACCTCTTTTCCTCTTGTGCTAATTTCAGATATTAGATTGAAGATGCCATTCCAGTTAACTTTCAAGAGTCCTGTAATGGGGAAGTGAGAAGCAGACAAAGACTTTCATCTGTCAGTTCGGGGGTGGGGAAAGAACATAAAGGGTTAAAGGGAGGTTTTCGTTTCTACCACATGCCCTATTGTGTGAACATATGCATAAGTCTATTGAAAGTTTTCAGAAGATAGGCAGGCCACCAGTTGCTGGTCTCCTGCAGTTCCAGTAGACATCTGTTGCCCCAGAACATTAACCAATCTGTTCAAAGGGACATCCTTCCTTTGTTAGTTAGAGGGATGCAGACAACAGTGCTCACTCAAATACAATGGTAATTAAATACGCAAAGACCATCACAGTAGGTATTTATTACATATTCATTATTTTATTTTCATTGTTCTCATTGTAGAGCCATTTGGATAACAACCAAAACCTACTTTCATGGCATTGTAACTTTACAAACAAATAACTTGAGGTAACAAGTTTATGGCCTAATATTCCTCATCACTGTAATGCTGTTTAGAATGCTAATAACTAGCTTTACCTGGTTTGAAATGAGTTATTATCCAAGTTATCTGTTGAGAATTTTCAATCCTTTCACTAGAAGAATTCCAATATATGTGTAATTTCAGGTCAGTACCCTTTAAGTCCTAAACCTGCTTTTAGGCACTACAGAGTTATTTTTTGCAAAAGAGTAAGTTTTTCTTCATCATCATCTATAAAATTAGCATAATTCATTCTTTTTCAAAAAATACTATTATTTAATTTTTAGATGTCTTTATCAAGATAAAAGTGAGTTTCTGATATAATATCTAGAAGTAATCTATGGATTTTTGAAAGTGGAAAGGTCTTTTAGATTATTGTATTTTTACCTAGTACCTTTTATGTTCAAGAATATAGTGTGTAAATGCCATGTATAAGGGCTCTGTGATACAAAGTTTACAGTTTCTGCTCAGAGTTTCGCAGCAATTCTGGGAGTACAAACTAGTTTGCCTGTGTGTGAAACTTTGACCCTGCTTTTGCATGATTAGAGGAAAGTTACACTTACCAGTGGATATCTGTTTGAGTGTTATGAATATTTACATAAGCTTATGTTTGACTGAAAAATGCACAGCTTCAAAGTCTGAGCTGTTCATGATTTAGCAATTAAGAAAAAGATATTATTCATTACGTAGGATAAGTAACACATTGTGTTGTCTTTTTCTTTTGAAAACTTAGTAGTCATTAAGAGGCTAAACAGAATTAAATACCATGCTGTTCTTTATTCTGTAATGTTTTGTATGTTAGCTTCTTGTAAGCTTTGCATCTTCTACTACTATTTGTATCTCTTTTAAGCCTTTAGGCTAACATTTAAATTTTTATTTAATAATTTTAAGATTCTGTCAAAATCTGGGTTGTTTTTAAATGCCATATTAAGTCAGGGCAACTTTTTACTAGCTACAACTTGATCAAAGGGCTCTAAAGATTGAAGCTTTAAAAACCAAATCTTTACCATTTCAATTAATATAAATCTGGTTATTTCAAATGTTAATTTAAAACCCAGACTATTTACTTTTAACATTGAGAAACATTATTGTATATTATTGAAAAATAGTGTAAAATGTTATTAAATATTATGTACATGAATTGTTTCAAGTTGAAAGTATTAGTGTTTGTTAACTATATTACTATAAAGAACTATTAAATGGCTTAATATTATAAAAGCAACCAAACATCCATTTCTCCCTGTCTTGCCATATAGCCATGTGCTAAATAAAGTACATAGATGAGCAGATTCTGAAACTACCACTCACTGGTATTTTTTCATGTACTAGATTGAGGATGAAACAGAAGAATTCATTGAAATGCAGTTTTAGAGCGGTCTGACTTTCTGCTTCAAAACTTTACAGTATCAGAGTTTGTCACTTTTAAAAGTAAAAATTAAGGAAATCCATATATCCTTCAGTCATTAATTTTCATCCTAATGTTTTTCACTGTCTGTATTTGCTGTGTATTCATCATGTCCAATATAGGTTCTCTAGCTCAAAACCACAACAAAACTGCTCAATATTAAAATAATATTCCCTAGTTCAACGTAGCAATTTGGTCAGCAAGTCATTATCTTAAATTATCTCACAACAGTACTTATGCAAAACCAAAACTTTTCAGGGGAGATCAGAAATGTTTCCCATTAAATGCACTTCCTGCAGTCAGAACAGATTGTGGGGTTTACAGAACAATGATGTCGGAGCTTCCAGATTGGTTTGGCAGCTTCATTGTTCTCTGAGGGTAAACCAGACGCACTTAAGTCCCAGTCTCTTTTATAGGCTTTTGTTCATACCAAATTATTCTTTCACTGTGCTAGCATTCATGATGGCATGTTAAAGGAGTGCAGCTTAGCAACCATCTTCTGGTTGCCAGGCAGCCCAGCTTCCAATAGATTTTCCTTGTTTAAGATACTTTTGGTAGGAGCTCTACTAAGGCCACGGTGTAGATTTTTCTTTTAACTTTATCCCATTATTGGGATGCTGTTGTGATTTGTTACTTGCATTATGGTGTTAGTACATTACTGTAGTTAATAAATCACAGGGTGTACAGATTCACTTTCAAAATTCCTTCCTTAATTCTAAGTAATTGGGCCGTGCATCTCCATATTAATAGAAAAGTTGAAATGGACACAGCTTCATATGAAGCAGATGTTCTTTATCAGTGGGGCATCCAGAATAGGGAGGTCGGGTGCTTCTTTAGCAAGTGTTGTATGAGTAGAACAGTGGTATTCAAGTTATTAGCCAAGAACAAACCCTGAAGAAAGTCCTATAGAAATGTGTAGGACTTCTACCCCAAGGAAATACTGAAATTTTGTAGTTTTTAAAAATTGCATATTTTCCAGTATTCATCCTAGTTAATAAAATTCAATACACTTAATAGAAATGTTTGATACTGAGTGGGTTTATTGGGTAAACTTTAAAGTTTCTCAAAAAATCAGCCTTTTAATGTTTCTTCTGGCATATGTATTTTGTTAAACTGATGCAATTTAAAAAAATGTTTCTCCAATTTTCTTCACTAGATTAATTAGGTTTTTTTTTTAAATGACAACCTTAGGTTCACTAATTAATGGTAGAAAAGCAGAGTTGCTTTTATCAGTATACTCCTGTTGTTGATACAGTATTTGTGGAGTAAAAACAGAACATAACCTTACTTTTCTGACATTCCTAGAAGAGAAATAAATTATTTCTAATAGGTCTTAAGGAAAAGTAGTGTAACAAAAACATTTTAAACAATAAAAATATTCCTGCAAGGAAAATGGAGAAGTGAGCTTTTAACAAAATGCAAGTATGTTGTTAATTAATCTGATGCAATACAAAATACTTTTATCAAACCAAAAAACTGATATGACAATGTATTTGTTTGCCTCAGATTTTATGTAAAATATTTAATTTCACTGCTCTCAACAAATGTATATTAAAAAACTTTTTTTCTTGAACGAAATAGACTACTGTGTCTCTGCCACTTAATAAAGGATCATAATACTTAGAAGTATATTCTGTTACAATGCTCAGTATTCACAAAGTTGTAATTGTTAATGAAAATTATATTCATCTCAAAATGGAAGGAAATTAGCCCCTTCCTTCCTTTCTTTCTTCCTTCCTTTCTTCCTCCCTTCCTTCCTTCTTTCCTCCTTCCTCCTCCTCCTCTTCCTCCTTCTTTCTTCTTCTTCTTGAGACAGTGTCTCTCTGTAACACAGGCTGAATTGGAACTCACTATGTAGCCCAAGCTAATCCCAAACATACCGTTTTCATGTTTCAATGTCCCAGTCACTAATATCGCAGGCATACAGCAGCATGCTTGGGTAGGGATGTAATTAGCTTTGTGATTATTCAATTCCTTACTGACTAGTTTAGATATGTATCCCTTCATTTCAGTATCTAAATTTATTTTTTAAAACTTTCACATATGAGTACTATCTTTACATCATTTACTCTCTCCCTCTCCTTCAACATGAATGTGCCCCCCACCTTGAAATTCATGATCTCTTATTCTTTAATTGGTACACACCTACACATCAGTACACAGAGAGGGGAGAGAGACAGAGACAGAGAGAGAGACAGAGACAGACAGACAGAGAGAGAGAGAGAGAGAGAGAGAGAGAGAGAGAGAGAGAGAGAGAGAGAGAGAGAGAGAGAACAAACCTTTGTAAAGCCCAGTGTGATTTAGTGTTTACTTTGCTGCTGCCTTGGAGGGATTCATGTAAAGGAGTCTTGGTAAGTTTGCTATGGGTGATGAGCGGCTTCAGACAAAATACAAAGTAGGCAGTCAGTAGTTTGGCAGTTCTGACTTGTTTGCTGAGGGAAGATTCAAACAGTAAATATGATCTATTAAATACCTTACGATTTTCTCTAGGAATACGGGGTACTCTGCATTCAAGAATACAGGAAAAGCAGCAAAGTGGAGTCAAGTGTGCAGAACAGCTTCATGGGCTTGAAGGACCACCTGGGGCATGACCTTGGCCACCTTTATATGGAGAGCACTGATCCACAGATAAGTGCAGCTGTGCCTTGGCCTATGGGAGAGAAACCAACAATGGATACAGTCAGTTCAGGGAAGGAAGAAAAAGAGGTGTCTGAAGAGAGTGTGAGCTCCGGGGACTCTGAAGAAAGCACGAATTCTGATCATGAGTCAGGACAGCTGAGTAGCCTTTCAGTGGAGCCATGCTTGTTAGCCAAGACTCACAGGCAGTTATGTCGGTCTCCCTGCTTAGAGCCTCACCTGCTTAAACATAGTGACGCGTGTCTGCAAGACTTTAAACCAGATGGGTCCCAGACTCCATCCAAGGAAGTGAAGAAACCCCCTGATGTGGTTCGAGAATACCAAACAAAACTGGAGTTTGCACTGAAGTTAGGTTACTCTGAGGAGCAGGTCCAGCTCGTGCTAAACAAACTTGGTACTGATGCTTTAATCAATGATATATTGGGAGAACTTGTCAAACTTGGAAACAAAACTGAAGCGGATCAAACAGTTAGTACTATAAGCAGTGTAATGCGGGAAACATCATCGCTGGAATCTCAGAGGTCTGAGTCTCCGATGCAAGAGATTGTAACAGATGACGGCGAAAATCTGAGACCAGTAGTTATTGATGGTAGCAATGTGGCAATGAGGTAAGTTTTTTTTAATCTTTACTGAAGCTATTACTAAATCTTTGAAAGTTATTCCAGTTCTTTGGCTGTTTTCCTATTCATAGACATTAAAATCTCTCAACATTAACTTTTAGAAAACACTTATTTTTTTATCTTTGAATAGATATTCTTTTTTAGATACTCCTTTTTTATTTTTCTTCCTCTTGACTCAAGTGCTACAGCTTAAAAATTAGTGTCTATTATCAGCTTAGTGTTGATTGTGAGTTTTTAAAGAAATCAAGTATGATGGCATTCAACAAATCGTTTTTATATGAAACAAAACCTGTTTTCACATGAAAATAACTTGGGATAACCCGATTCTTCTAGAAGATAAAAATCCATTCTTTTGGTTTGATAACAAATCAAAGATACACTTTTCAGGTCTGTGCTCCATTCAAGAAATGTAATTAAAACATAATTCTTTAGGAACTGAGGAAACATTTTATTCAAGTGAAGTTGATGCCCTAAAGTTAGATGGTTCTAAATTCAGTCATTGTAGTTAAGTTCCCACCATATTCACTGCATTGGAGGAGGAAAAGACCTAAAAAGACATAAGATCTTCAACAGCTTAGAGTTTCAGCTATTGTGTATCAAAAGGAGATCTTGGAAATACTAGACGAGAAATTGTTGAAAGAGTTTTCTCTGGCTGTGTTTTCAGTGGCAATACAATGCAAACTATATGTTATTTGAAATGTCTTACTATTTCACTAATACATATAAAATAACATTCCAACATATAATCAAGTTTTAAAAGTTACTTGTGAAAATGAGATTTTGGAATGTGGTACAGTGTATCTTTTTCTGGAATTGTGCTATTTTAGTGCTCAGTAGCACATGTGGCTATTAACTACCATAATAGGTAGTAATTTTAGAATGTCACACATTGAAAACACCTGAAATTCAAGGTGTAGCTTAGACAGTTATTCATAAGAATTGTTTATGTGACAATCTATATTGAAATCTTAAAACAGTTGTCTCTTGTAGGCCACATAAAATATGAAGAGGACTAGTATGTACTTTTCTATGCAGCCCTCCAGATGGAGGCAGCAGGATCTTTCATTTATCAGCAACTAGACTTACAGTATCTAAATTACTTACCATAGCTAAACATTCAAAACTAAATATGTGTGACTTCAGAGGGTACACCCTTCATCATATAGTAAAAGAGGAAATGTGACAAAGGTTATAGCCAAATTGTGCAAGGCTTTAATGGAGCTTGGGGATGTAGTTTGTTGGAAATACACTTGCGTAGCATGTATAATTCTATGAGTTAATCCCTAACAATGCAATAAGGCCTCAAATGCTTTGCAATCCAAAGAGAACCAAAGGGTTTTAGATAGAAGAATGCTTTACAACAACTTGTCAGTGATGTGTAGCAAGTAGGAGACAATTTTAATGAGAACAACACATTCTATGGAATGAAGAGAACCCTGACAAGTACCATAGAGCTATGAAAGCATGCTATTTGGTCTTTTCCAAATTTTGTGACAGAATGATGGTTTTTCTTATAATAACCCAGAAGTACCAACTGATTACCTTGATGATAATATGTAGTTGCAAAGTCTATGAAATTGCCATGAAGAAAGTAATAAGGACAGTTGTAAATCTTGGGGCAATACCTGTTGTCATAGCTATATGCCAGAATTACCAGAGCTATTTTTAATCCCAGCATTTGTGAGGCAGAGGCAGGCAGATCACTGGAAGTTTGAGGCCAGCCCCTGAGTTCCAGAACATCTAGGGCTACACATAGCAACCCGTCTTGAAAAACTAAATGAACATACAAACAAAAGAACATCTTCTAGTGTTGTAGAGCTAAAGAGCCTGATTTGTTTGAGTGAAAGGAAAGCCCAAATACCTTTTTTTTTTTTTTTTTTTTGCTTTGCTGTTTTTATAGGTAGACATTGGGAATCAACAACATTAAAGTATTGACACTGTTAGAAATATTTATAGTGCTGGAAAGACTAAGAGACAAAAAATGTCATCGAACAGAGGAAAGGAAGGCTTTTAAGAGAGAATATCTCATGTTGTGCTTTAAAAAAAAGTCACAGGGCATCACAGCCAGGAAAATGTTTTCAAGAATCCCGTAACGTATTGAAGACAGAAGCCCAAATGCTGACTGTTACTCTAGAACAGTACAGTCGTTCTTAACCTGTACATCATGACCCCTTTGGGGGTTGAATGAGCCTTTACAGGGATCATATATCAGATATTTACACTGCAATTCATAACAGTAGCAAAATTACATTTACGAAGTAGCAAAGAAAATAGTAATTTTATGGTTGGGTCACCACAACATGAGGGACTATATTAAAGGGTCACAGCATTATGAAGATTGAGAACCACTGCTCTAGAAGATTAACACAGGAAGGGAACGACAAAGAGAAAAAGTTGGGGAAGGATTTTGTTGAGTTTTAATTTGACGCATTGAGCATTACCTACAGAAAAGCTTTGATGCCAGACACATGGCATAGTTAAAACATTTCAAACAATGTTTATACAAACAAACATCTGCCCACACCTAATTAGGGCTCTATTCTGTAGCCCTTGCTATAAAATTGGGGCCATGCAGATCAATTTCTTTTCTTCATCACATATTTTAATCTGGCACCTAAACTGAAGTGCTTCAGGCATTTCAGGAGGGAACAAGTTGACAGGAAATTATTATAGCAGTATTATTCTGTCAGTCACAATAAGGCATTTCACCATGTCTATGATTTAAAAAAAAACAGAATTCATGAAAATTTATAGGAAGCTTATACATTCTGCCATTTATAAATTCTATCTACAGCTACAAAGTTGTTTATAAATACATATTTACTTCAGGTCCAAAATTTTTCTATAACTAAAATACAGAGAGATTTCCTCCATTTTATGCTACATACATATTATATACTTTCACTTTTAAACTTAATTGTCTGTTCATGCCAAGCTTAGCAAGCCTGTTTTGTATATAATATATGTACACATGTAGTAGATTATATGTGATAAGTAAATATGGACCTAGTTTGGAATCTTATTTTGTTATCTTTCTTATTTCCTGACAGCTCCATAAATAAGTATTTCATTCTTAGTTAAATGCTAAGCACAGACTTGATATACACAGTCATATTAAATGCATATTTAAAATAGGAGAGCAATACCACTTTTATTCAAAATACAAAATGGGATGAGGATTGAACACAGGACCTGATGAATGCTAGGCAAGCTACTGTTAAAATTCCCCAGCTCCCTTTTGGGATTTTACAATACTCGGTTCTCTGGGGCAGGTGAGATGGCTCAGTAGTTAAGAGCACTGGCTGTTCTTCCAGAGAGCCAGAGTTCAATTCCCAGTACCCATATAGTGGCTCACAACCATCTATAATGGAATCTGATGACCTCTTCTGGCATGCAGGTGTACATGAAGACAAACCACTCACATAAAAAATAAATAAGTTTTAAAAAAGAAAAGCTGAAATTAAAAAACAAAAGACAATACTTAGTTCTCTATGTGATACTCTTCGCTTTTCCTCCAGTTGGTTAAAGCCTCCAGCCTCTGTTTTCAGATTTTTTGTTGTTGTTGTTTTTGAGACAGGGTTTCTCTATGTAACAGCCATATCTGTCCTGGAACTAGCTCTGTAGAACAGGCTGGCCTTGAACTCACAAAGATCCACCTACCTCTGCCTCCCGAGTGCTGGGATTAAAAGTGAGCACCACCACTGCAAGGCTCTGTTTTCAGATTCGTAAAGGGAGAAGTCCTATTGTCAATTTTGTTTATCAGGATGAGAGATATTTGTTAGCAATGCTTAATGTGTAATAGACAGTCAATAAATTACAGGTATTCTTACCTTAAAGAACTAATCTCTCAATCAGGAATATAGCAACAAATGAGAATTTAGGCTATAGCTGTAGCTTACTGGTAGAATACTTGACTCCCATGAATGAGGCCCTAAGGTTCAATTTGAAATACTGTTCAAGAGAGAGAAAACAAAACTTAAACAGTTATCCTGGTTTTATTTTTATTCATGAACCATTTTTTGAGAATTTCATATATAAGTACACTATATTTACATAATTTTACCCCTTTCTCCCCTCCAACTCCTCTCATTTTTCCCAGCCACACCCTCTCAAATTCATATTCTCTTCTTCTATTATTATTTGTTTTATATATACTTACACGTGTATATACACATGTGCATGCACAACCTGAGTCTAAATATTGTTACCTAAATGCATGTGTTTAGGGATGAGCACTTAGGTAACCTACAGGGAGCTTGTTCCTGAAGAAAACTGTTTTCTGTCTCTCAGAAATTATTGACTGCCCTTCTACTAGGGGTGTGACCTTACGAACCTTTTCCCATCTATGTTGACATGCCATCTGGTATGGTCTTGGGCAAGTCATAGCCATAGCTTTTATAAACTATGAATGATGTATTTTAATAATTACATTGATTTCAATCATCATCTCCTCAATGACAGTTTACACAGTGTCACAAAGGAGTCTCCAGAATATATATAAAATGGGTCTGAAAAGTTGTAGAGCTTTTCTGTTGCCTTAGAGAGCATGCTGCTGCTTTTAGCTTGGTTAATGATTTTCTTTTTGGTGGTGATGGCTGTTGTTGTTGTTGTTGTTTTTAATGTGCTTCAATGATAAGAATTGAATAAAGTCTGTTGAATACACAATTTGCCACAAACTTACAGATGAACACTCAACTTACTCTACTGCAGTTTATAATAGGTACTTCACCACCAACCAGGTATAGGATCATCAAGGACCTAGTATGCAAAACTTTTTAGAAAAGAATGAACTGTTTTTAAAGAAATCTCTAAACTTTACTATAAAGTGATGGGAACCAAAGAAGTACTTGCTTTCTGGGTGTGAAACAGAGCTAGCTAGTCTGAGAAACTCTGACAAATGGCTGTAGCTAATATCAATTCTTTTTTTAAATGAGCTAAATTATTTCATATATTATTCACTCAGGAAATAGGCCTCTTTCCTTAATAGT